ATTCCACGCTGTTCACATTTAATAAAATATGATCCATTTTTATATCTGCCTTTTATACCTTTATCCTCATAATGATCCGACTTGCATAGTGGACATAAAGATTCATCCGTAATCCCATAATAATCTTTGTTTCCATCTCTACCTTCCCAATATAAGTCGGGATATTGTTCTGCCATTTTATTACGGAAATAGGCATGGTTATGTGTAGTATCTACCTTAGTTGAATCTTTCGAATTCGTTTCATCATCATCGGAGTTATCATCGTCGGAAGATTCTTCCCCATTATCGTCTTCATCCTCATCATCGTTATTATTGCTAATATCCTCATCAGGTACACTTACCTGTATCTTGGTTCCTGAAAATTCCAAATCTTGATCATTTTCTGGAGATGGTTTATTACTAGATAAAACAAGGGATTGAGATTTGATAGATATATTTACTTCGTTTACCTCAGTTTCCTCCAAGGTTTTCTTGGTTAGTGGAATATTTGAGTTAGAAGTCTGTTCGTTAACATAATTTACGATGTTTTGGATTTGCGTATAAGAGAGGTTAGAAATTGCATTTGCGCTATATGAAACTTGTTTAATTTTTTCTATCCCTACTGCACTAAAAAGTGTTCTAATTTTTCTAGCTTTGAGAATTATATGTCGTAAATTCACATCCGTGATATCAGGTAGAAACTGTTTAATTTCGTGATATACTAAGCTGGTTGCCTTTTTCTTACCGACCTTGTTGCTAACAGAAATTTCATCTATTCTTCTGTCATATTTTCCAGCAAAGTGATACCAATATAAAATTGTATCTTGCCCAGATCGAATTGCTTTTCGAAATATGCATACTATGGTCTGCACTGAAACTGGGGACAAATCATTGATAGAAATGTCAATATTTTGCATTGAGTCTTCGTCTAACATAGCTGAATTATTATCTCCAGTAGTCACAGCAATCTGTTGCTGTAATTCTTGTTCCACGATTAGATTTGTTAGTGGTTTATCAGGGGAATCTATAAGTTCGGTATTTTGTTCAGAGATTTTATCACTAGACATATCTGAAATTTCGTCAGAAGATTTTTCGTGATTTTTAGTAACAGAAATTTCTTGTCATTTTTCTTGTATTAAACTTTGCTCACACGAAATATTAGGAGTATTATCTTCAGGAGTTGAGAGTAATTCTTGATCTCGAAGTTTCTTTTCCCTAATTCTCTCCATTATCTCTTTACTAACCTGTTCCTTATACTGCAAATTTAGGAATTCATTTTCTTCCTTCTCTTCTAATGATATGGTTTCTACGGGAATAGGAGATGTGGGGGTTACCGAATCCTGGTATATATCAGAATTGCTGGAGGCAGTCACTTCTTGTACATCAGAATTTGAAGAATTATTAAATATATTAGACATGGGAGCATCATTTTTACTATGTAAAAATTCTATCTGTTTGGGGGTTATAGGAGTAATGCTAGTCATAGAATTATTTGATTCACAGTGAATCGAAGTTTCTTTATCAGAGTGTGCTTCGGTAGATGAAGTTATTGGTGATTCAGTAGAAGAATCAGAAGAATCAGAGATTAGGCACGAATTTGTTAGCTTGTGCTTTGACTCTGCCTCTAGTGAAATGGCAACAATTTGATCCTGTTTGATTCCTTTGATATCGTCATCTAGTTTAGCAATAAGGTTAGTTTTTTCTTTATCATTCTGCTCTAGTTTCGCAAATCTAATCTCATACTCTTCCATATCCTGTCTTAACTTTGCATTCTCAGCTTTAACCTC